GCGTCTCATCTCGTCGGACATAATTTTGCATGGCACGCAAGCCTTTCAAAGATGAATCATTTTCTCTACATTTTCCACTTTTTCTCCGCCTCTGTTGATCGCATATATATAGCGATAGTAACTTTAACCCTACCTCGAAAAAATCGTCGACATACAAACTTCTGAGTTATACAATAGATAGTTACAACAAAAAGTTAACTTACATTAAAAACATATGATTATTAGTTCGATTTCGTGATGGGTTCTGCTAGGGCATGGACTGTCCTACTAAAGTTTCTTTAAAAAATTGACTGAGGACGATATGGATTTACAAGCATGGGGTCACTTAATGGAAGATGATCCAGCTATACAATATGTAAACAAGATACGCTGTTGACCTGTTTTGGCTTTGGACATTCGGACAATTACAGACGCAAACCGATTAAACCTTTTTTATCCATAGACCCGGAAAAAAATTTGGTATTCCCACCAACAAATACCACTTTTGTATTCAAAATACCCAGGCTCCAAATTAAAAAATTATTAGACAAACAAGTTGCTCTTTAGAAATCAATCCTACGGGCCATCACAATCCATACATTACTACCAAAGAAGCAATGGGCCAGTCGTTTTTCTTAAACGTCTGTCAACGTTAATAAATATTTACAAATTCTCGCTTACAATACCGATTTGCAAGTCAAGTGTAATTATCGCGACAAAACATCGTCAACGTCACTCATATTTGACCCCGTGACTTGCCCCGTGGTCAAGTTCGATTTCTGACGTCCAAGGTCACATCCTAGATTTACATACAACAGCCATAACTTGACTAATGACCGACGACAGCCAGGGTTGTCAACTGCGAAAATGACACGAATTCGATTTGTGCGTAAGACCTACTGTTTTTTATATGTACAATTTAAAATATAACATACATATTTTATCTTTCTTCATTAACCCATGGCATAAATAAACCTTAATACTTGTTAAAACACTTTTAACGGTTTAAAATGCGGAATATATAGGGTTACTTACTTACTTTAACTTACTTATTTTAACTACGGCCCGACGTTTCGGATGCTTTAAAGCAAACTTGGTTGAGGGGATAACTTTTGCTGTTATTTTTATTATAATATGTACTAAAGCTAAACTGCGAACAAAATTTCACGTTCGTAAACAAACATTAAAATATCTTCCTAAACGTAACGGATGAAAACGCGATGTTATTAAAAGACATTGTTATTAGGAACAATTCGACAAATTCTTTAACTATGTTAAATATTCGAGTTATGTAATGTAACGGTTTAAAACGCGAAATATATTAGTTTATTTAGTCAATAGAATTTCGCGTTTTAAACAATTAAACGTGTATTATTTACTATCGATGCTATATATTTAGTGTGAACTTAATATAGATGCAATACGTATCGCAACGGTAAATAAATTCTACATAAGTGCTTACATAAAGGGACAGAACACTGTTGGTACTTTGTTCGAGACCCGCTTGTAATTTCAAAAAAAAAATAAACCCAGAAACCACGTATTCAGCCCTAATGACGGGTCAAGTTTTTGTCACGTCTCTGAGATTATTGTAATTATTTAGCTTCGATAGTATTACCCTAAGAAATGAATCTTATTTTAAAACAATAAAGGCCAATTTCGATTAAACGAACACAGAATAAGTTATTACGCTAACGGTGTTATTAACTTATTACTGAGTCTTATTAGATAATTTAAAAACAATTAACAGATTTAAATAAGTAAAAAACGATGTTTTTTCCTTCATTATTTCAAGATTGTTTTTATATTCGTATGACTTCTTGTCTAGATCGACAGCTTATCTTGTTTAGATGTAGGTAATACAGCGGGGATCACCTTCCATGAAGTTAACCAAATATAAAAAAATCTAAACTTTGAAACCTTATTTTGAATATAATAATGTCATATTCGTAAATCGTACTTAAGGGAAATTTTTTATTTAATTATCTACCTATATTTATTTAGTACATCAAAAGGATACTATCGTAACCATTTAAATAAAACACTTTAACAGTTTAAAACTCAAGATATATATTGTTAAACTTATTGAAAATTACTAATACCAACGACGGAACAGATGTTGACATCAGAAACACCTCTCCATCTTCACGTCTCCCCTGACCACGGCTGCTGCAACCCATCCCTAGTTTGAAATAATTTTCAAATAAGTTTACAAATACAAATATTTTTACCTTATTGTCACAATAGATAACAATAAATAAAAATTGAGGACAAACGGCGGCCTTATAACTAATAGCTTTTTCTTTCAAGCAACCGCGGTAAAAAAAGGAAACTCAGTTATAAAAAATGGTACTTATTTATAATAACAAAAATATAAAAATGAACTCAATCTAAAATCAATTTAACTAAGTTATAAGCAGAAGTGTAACTAATATATATCGCGTTTTAAACCGTTAAAGTGTTTTATTTAAATTACCCCGGTGGGCATGTTAAAATAAAGATTCGCATAAGATTAAGACATCAGAGCGAAATCCAAGTATCGTATTAACATGCAATTCGATATTTCGATGTTATCTCCGATCGATTTGAACACTCGAATGACATTATTGCATAATAGCGCCTCTTAGCTGTGACAATTACGCGTTCCTTGAATAGACATTAGCATTGTGGAGCTTCTTTTAACGTAAATATTGTGACAAGACCCATTGAGTGTCGAACAATAGTAGAATAGGACCCGAAAAACTATTGTCCTTATTTTTTGTTGTTCGAAATTGGCTATTTATTGACGAAATGCAAAATGTCCGAAAGCCTTGGGCGATGACATGCTTATGTAAACGATAATAAAGTTAAGTCTACCGATGTACCGAGGTTTAATCGCGTGTCGCTTTCGCTTTGCTGCCAAAGTGTCAAAGCCAAAGTGTGCAATAGATTTTTCTCTGCAGCAGGTACTTAAATATGTACTAACTTCACGGTCAACGGTTCAACGAACACTTTGTACTTTGTCTGGAAATCTGGGTATTCAATGGGTAGTAGAAATAGATAGGTCGAAATGCAATCCGGGTCGTAAACACGTGAAAGCCGAGTCAAGCCTTGAGAAATTTAATCACAGTCACAACTGAACCGAATTCAGTCTGTGGATTTCCGAATATCCAAAGCCGAAATAGGTCGACAGCGAATCTTGTTTAGATGCTATTGGCTGGGCACAGTTCACTAAACATAAAGTGAATCCCATTTTTGTCTTTCCTCTATCATAAAAAAGAACTAAGTATATATGCGCAAGAGTTAAGGTTGAAATTACAATGCGCGAGAGTTGCATGTATCAATAAGTTGAAAAAATTCGACGATGAGCTGTAGGACTCGGTAGCTCAATTGGTGGAGCAACAGCACGGAACGCTGACGATGCCGGTTCAATTCCTGCCTGATTCAAAAAAAATTTCAATTTATTTCCGATTTTTAAATTAAGCATGCGCACTGCGCACAAAGTAAGTCGGACTTACTTTGTGCGCAGTTTAAAATATGTTATTTAACTTACTATTATGCTTCGGTGTTAATTATGTTTTGCAATAAAGAGACCAAAGCCAAACAGGACGACATGTTATATGGCTGGGCTATTTTACCTACGTTGTTTCTTTGATAAGAATTTGTTTTCTTATCGAAGGGACAACATTCCGATATTATTTGAACAGTAGGTCCTTAAAATAATGTTACGAGTTACTTAATATTCTGGCACATGCCAAAAATGAAAGTGTCCCCGCATAAAACGTATGGTTAGTAAAGGTTTGCCAATATTTGGCATATTGACGCATGATTCCACAAACATTAGGGAAAGTCACAGTTGTTTACTGACCATATTACGGCCAGTGTATTTAGACCTATCAGATTATGACGTTTAAGGATAAAGGTACGTCTTTCGGGAGCTGAAAATTTTATAATTATTAAGATATTTTTATTATTTTCTGCTTCGAAGTTTATGATATCAATTTACCTTTTTTAAACGGTTTTATTTACTCGGTTTTATCGCTCGACTCGTATGGAATTTATTTATTTGCGTCACAATTAGAAATTGAAATTTAACCACTTTCCCGTTGTCAGATTGATCAGAAGTTTGGTACACACAATTAATTTAGATGACAATTATAAATCCAAAATGACCGCCGATACAAAATTTTGGGATTATATATTTTTTCTCAACCCTCTCAATATGGGTATCAAATGAAAGGGCGCTGATTATGTAAAAAAAAAATATTAGTTTTCAGTGCACAAAAAATAAAACCGTTTAACTTAAAAGATTTTTATTAAACAAGTTACTTTAATCAAAACCGAAAGATATTCGGAGACGCGAATAAACTTCACAGCACTTTCTGTGTGGATGGTGGTTCGTGAGTCGGAAGGAAATTTTCGATAATCCTACCGTCCATTCTATATCTAGATTTCCAAATATAGTTCCAACATATCTACGATTTTTTTTAAATTGATTTGCAACATTTTGGACCCGGTTACCCATACTACCAATAGACCAATCAGCCCATCAATAATATTTTATTGAACGGGATTATAAATATAGGCTTTAACGGTGCCTATGTACTAGATTGTGTGTGAATAAATAGATTCACAAATTTAATTACTTTTTGCCTTTGCCCTTTACTTAGTTGTACCTTCAGAAGTATTTTAAGTTCACGACATTAATAAATAAAAACATAGTTATTTTTAAGTTACTTAAATTCTTTAGACTTAAAAGTTTTTGTCTTGCGTTTATATTACTCATGTTCTTGAGGCTTGACCCCGGCTTTGAGTACCCCAAGGCACAATGTAAAAACGTATATAGTAAAATTTTGCCTCAGGTTACTATCGAAACCAGGTGTTTTTAAATAAAACATTTTAACGGCTTAAAACGCGATATATATAAACTTATTTGAAAATTTGCAGCAGCTGTGGTCACGGGGAGACTACGTATTATCGAATTCATCGATAAATACACTAATACTTCGGCCTTGTAACGTTGGTTGCGATCCTTCAAGATATCAAAACATCGGATTCAAATAAAAGTTGAACAATGTCTGCGCGGCCCGAATCATAATGAGTGGTGGGTCGGCGCTGTCATGTGGGCTGGAGGTCGTACGTCGGATGTACCAAATTCGAATGCAGTTTCTAACTGCAGTCAAATTCATTCTGAATTCAAATTTTGAATAACGTAACGAGCATCTGCAACAAGTGTTTATACGAGTTTTAAATAATAAATATACTACAACACTGTACTATACATGAATTAAGCAATTAGAGAAAATATATAGAGCTAAATCCCGTTTCCTCTGGGGTATGGGGCGAACACACCTCTGTGTCCGTTTCACTATTTCATTCTTCGTATATCCAAGGCCACAATAGCTCAACAGCCCATCTTCATTAGATGTTATACGGCTAGGGTATTCCTCCTCTATCATAAAAACCTCATTAATTGTATTGATAGGCAAGAATTTGATCAGACTTCTTGCCTTGACTCTCTCTTCTCTTTGCTTCTCGCTTCGTGTCTTGCCTAACGGAAACAACTTAGCGTGTCTCTGGGATTCAAACCCAGAACATAATGCAATACCTACCAATGGTGCAGTTCAGGGTTAATATGGATAATATATTGGTATGATTCTAACGGGTTCCTACGACTAAATGTAGGTATATGGATCTAGAATCTAGGCCAAGATTTTATATTTCATATAAGAATCACTTCTGCTATCTTGACGTAATAAAAAAAACTCAAACAATATTACACTCCTTACACAGTCCAGACACGTCCACGCAACATTTGGCCCAACCGCAAAAGTTGGATTTTATTGTTTGACACACACGAACTGCGACCAACATGTCATTACAAAATGAGTTCATTTTCAATACTTTCCAATACTATAATGGTATAGTGGGCCTTTGTTGTCCTTTAAATAACTTCTTTATACAATTGAGATATTCAAAGTATCAACAAATATTACATTGCGGTGCATACTTTCATACATTGTGACGACGACACAGTAACTGAATTCGTTGTTACTTTTTTTTCATATTTTTCCAAATAAAACGCTTTTAACGGCTTTTAACGCGAAGTACAATGGTCACGTGGGACTACTGCAAAGCTATAAGTCGAGTCATAGTAAATTACAAAGAAGTTACCTAATACTTGTCGCGTTTTAAACCGTTAAACATGTTGTATGTAAATGTGTACTACTCTCGGAAACTATTGTCAATACTTAAAATATTAAAAGTAAGTCGAGCCATAGTAAATTACAAAGAGGTTACCTAATACTTTTCGGGTTTTAAACCGTTAAACGTGTTTTATGTAAATGTGTAGTACACACACACACTCTCGGAAACTATTGACAATACCGTGACTACTATTGATAATAGTGTCACAGCTGCCTTATAAAATATTACATGTAAGGTATCAGTGACACTATAAATTTGTTACTGAATTTCTTAAAAAAGCCGTGAATTTTTATCGCGTTTCAGTTTTAGTCTGAGGTTTTCTGAATATCCGAAGCCATAATACGTCCACAGGACAACTTCTTAAGATGTTATATGGCTAGGTGGATAGTATTACTGCCATCCATCGTAAGTAAATGAATACTGTACATTACAAATTCATATTGCGTAGGATTGTTTTCTTGTGGGCTGTACATCGTCTACTTTCGGTCGGCCATTAATTACATGCCATTTAGTCTCATTACAATGGCCAAAACCAATTACGACTTCCATAACAATAATAAAACCTTATCTATGATTAATTTCGCCTTTTGTTTCTCCAGATGGCCATTGGAAAGTGTTGGTTAATATTTATAACTGTTTCGTATTAACTTCGTGACTACTTAAGTGATATTTCGCCATTTATTACACTAGCTGCGCCCGCGACGTTGTCCGCGTTTAGTTATTTTAGGTGCCAAACAATGCTTTTGTAAGCCATTTCATCTTTAGGAATAGCTTGTAGCTGTTACCCATGACGTCGTCCGCGTCCCTTCGCATAGTTTTTGTGAGTTAGTCTTATAAGACGCATACTAAAAGAAAGACAGAGAAGATATAATCGCGAAAACCTTTTCAGTAAATTTTTCAACAGAAGCCCTTAAAGATGAATAAGTTTCTCCGGTACATTTCCCTCCGTTTCTTCGCTTCTATTGGTCACAAACGGTTTAAAATACCAAAAAAACACGTTTAATACAATTATTCTTATTTAAATAGTCTATGTATATCTTTTAACTCAAAATAACCGTTTCTGTAGTAATTAAATTTGGTCTAAAGTATCATATGACAAAAGAACGTTTAGCGGGTATAAGTCGTGTTTTAAAAAGTTAAAAATGTTTTATTTAAACCCGTCAATAGGTCGATTCCTAATCTATATGAAAATAACATTTGCTAAACCTAATATTGAAATAATGGTCGATAAGATTGGCTTAAAATTACACAAGCGATTTCGATCCTCGAGGAAGTTATTGAGCAATAATATAGTATTAGCCACATGTCCAGGCGTTTAGGCTTTTACGAAAAAAATTCATGAGCTTTGCGGTTCGCTGTATTAAGTATTTACGAATCGGACACGGTTTTCGCCTGTTGCGGTTTTGGCCCGTGACAGTTGGCTTAGGAATTAGCATAATCAACTAGCCACCTGGTAGTGGTCATGAGTTGAAATATTACAATGTAACCACTACGTACGCAAAACAGCTAATTTTATACTGATAACTCTCCAAATGATAGTATTTTATAAAGGAGGACAGACACGCACGGAGTTTACTTGATGGTAGGCAAAATACTCCAGCTCTATGAAAAAAGAAGAAAGACATTTATTGACTACTAAGACACACAACAACATATGTTACACTTATTACTAAAACAAAACATAATTTAATCTTAACCGAATATTAACAGGATAAGATAATGTTGTGTGGAGTAGAATAGGATCTTACTCAGTTTATATCAGGCCCTTTGTTGACCTGAAAGCGATTTTTAGTAAGTCCTTAGAGTGTGGATAGCGGTGCCACACTCAAGTGAAAATAAACAAAAAGTTTCTGTTGTACAAATAAAAACACTTACTGAGTGACTTTACAGGAAAAGTAAGTCAAGTCAAGCTGCATAAAGAGAAAAAAGAATTGTTCCATTCCATCTTCACAATATCAATATATCATAGGTTTCCACTGACATCGCCACCAAAGTCAGTTATAAAATATCTAAACATGATGATGATGACAGATGTCGACTTATTTTACCTTTCTATTCGAAAATTCATAGACGGAAATGCGATTAAGCTAGACGGCTTTTTCGTCTATGGAGGCTGTAATAAGGAGTATCCACCCAGAGAAGAGAGGACAAACATGGGGTCCACTTCATGGTAGGAGAAACACCACAGTCACATAACCTATTATCCACCTACCTAGTATCCACTGTTAGATATTCGATATTCCAACAAGCCCGTCTGAAATAGATAGTAAGTTTAAGTGAGTAGTACCTATTTACATAAAACACTATTGACGGTTTAAAATAAAGTATATTACTTTAAATAATTTGTAAACAAGTTAACTATATATTTTGCGTTTTAAACCGTTAAGTGTTATTTAAAACTAATTATAACTAAGTCAAAGCTTGGTTTTTTCCAACGTTGGGTTATGCAAAACATACATACAGAAAAGGAAGGCGTTAATAATTCATATCGCATTGAATGAGTATTTTATTTTGTAATTTTTAAGCGATGACCCATTAAACTTTCCTTGTCGAGGGTGTGACAAAGGTACAATCGTCAACATCACAAAGACTTGACACTTTGTATGTAGCGATTAGCATACTGCCCAGTGTGGACGAATGACATTTACATTTTCTATTATTAAAATTTGTTTCCTGTCATTTATGAATTATTATATTATTTTTGTTGTAACTTATTTCTGCATAAATTAAATAGAATAAATAATTAATTTAAATTATTGTTCCTCTAAAGTTATAACTTGAAGTATTGGATAGCAAAGTTTTTAAGCAACCAATAATAAATGATTCAATGAGAACTTTATATAATTTTTTATCAAATTTTAAGTAAGCATTTTTTTATATTTAGTAGTAGTACTACTAAATATAAAAAACTAATAAACATGGAAGTAGTTAAATAAAACACCTTTAACGATTTAAAACACGATATGTAGGTATTAGTAATTGCTTTTAATTTATTTTACATACATGGTCACGACTGTTTCAAAGCATATATTTCGCGTTTTAAAACGTTTAATGCAGGAATATTTTCTAATAATACCTAACTTCTATACAATACACGACTTTAAAACATAATTTACCCTCTCCCTGCTGGATAGAAATCGGTGCAAATATCTTTTCCACAGACCATGTTTCTCCCAAATAACAAACATGTTCTTCAAATTAAACGATCCATTCAACTCCGATACAATGATAAAGCAATTTGCCATCGAATTTGTTGAAACAATAAAACAAAATGTCTGCCCACTCATGCGTTTACAGCGCAATAAAAAAATAAAAAGCGACCAAATATTCATGAATGGACGAGTAAGCTTCGATAGGTGTGACTTGTATTAAAATTGCAATAAAACTACAAGTTGTTATAACGCAATATACATTGAACGTTTTGTAAGAAATATATTTCACAATATTAATATAAACCCGCAATGTATGTTAATACATTTAAGTGTTAGAAAAGATTGGTCGTCGATTAACAACATAGTATAGAGAGTGATTAGAATGAGCGTGCGCGTGGGCAGGCTGTCGACGAGAAAGGGTCATTGAAAATAATATAGAGTATAAAATGTTATAGAGCTTCTGAATAGAAATAGTTTTGTTTTTCGTTATAATATATGGTTCCTTAAAGGTACTATCGAGACAACAAGACCTAATTACTATTTCTATAACTTTTGAAATACAATGATTATGAATGATTCGAAAGTTTTTTTTTGTTTAGGTTGCCAGAACGATACAGCTTTTCATATTTACATGTTTACCTATGTAAGTAGGCAAAACCCACTAAAATCATCAAGTCATGATCCCAAAGATCAAGCGGCGTGTCTACGGCCACATTGTCTTTCGTCTATCCAGTATATTTGCATAGAATGAAGTCGGCCTGGACAGACACGGCCTGTCATTAGCGGACGCGCACTGCCCCACCCAGCTCGAGAACAAATTATTGTCTTGTGACGCGCCTTATTATACATTTCTGCGTGATTGTACTTTGTCCGTTCGTACGTTCGTTATACTGCTAAATTCTATATTAAACTTTTTTTACTAGAGTTGTCTTTTGAAAGTGTGTTATTTTAATTATATAAATCAGATTCTAACATTATATTCAAACATTATTATTTTTATACTAAATCTGAATTTTATTCTTAATTTTCCTTCCATATTATATTTAATAAGAACCGCACTTCGTAAGCTACGCATTCCTACGACGCTATTAAGTCCAAATCCAAAACAGATCAAACAGGTAAACTAAATCAAAAATATGTTCACGAACCATACGGTCCGAAAAAACGTCAGAATTGTATACCCTTGTATAGCCTTTGTCCATATTTTTTACCACCCCCATATTTTTTGCGATAAAAAAGGTGTTTTCTATAAAATTCGAGAGCAAACGACGCGAATAATTCCCCGTTTTATATTTCTTAGATTTTTTCGAAGATCTAAACGCCCACCGCTTTGTTGGGCTATCGTTTTGATCTCCTTTTGATAGACCCCTGATGGACCCAGGGTCTATTGTCCACCTTTTCATTTGTAGACACAGATTGATTGATAGTCCTCCACTACTTTTTGGAAATAATTTAATTAAAGTTTTAATCTATTCTATTCACAATAATCCGAATGAACTGTTTTTGAACTCCTTTTTTTGTTATTATTATTTAAGCTAGACATAATATTATCAACAGAAAATTAAAAATAATATTTAAATAAAACACTCTAACAGTTTAAAACGCGATATATTAGTTTATAGAACTTTATTTGCATTTTCCAGCCCGTACTGGTTAATTATAATTATATAATAGTAGTATAACTAATATATCGCGTTTCAAACCGTATAAGTGTTTTATTTAAATGTGTACTACTCGCGTAAACTATAGACAGTATTTGAGAATATTTAAACAACACATTTTGAACTGTTTCAAAACGCGAATAATATCAATTTTAAACGGTTAATGTGTATTATTAACACGTACCTACTGTTTACGTAAAATATAGAGACTGTTTCGGATTCAAATTTTTTTGTAACTGAAGTAAAATTGAGATTTAATTTTTTGTTTCCCTCGAAGGAAATGGAGCGCGTATATTTTTGTGTCCGTTTCTCTTTTTTTTACTCTGTTAGACTGTAATATTTAATTGTTTACATGGGATTCGAACCCAGGACGTCTGGCGATAAAAGTAATATTAGGCAACACGTTTAGTTTCGTTTAGAAAGCAGAATACACCAAATGAAAAATCTCAGATGGTACGCAAATACAAAAAAATATGGCCATTTAAGAAATTAGTCAAAGCCAGTCTTAAATCCTGATAGCGGGTTCCGTATAGATGTTTTAATGGCGTCCCAGATCGTATCAGCGACATATGTCCTGAGTTAATGAACTCGAGGGCATAGTAAAAAATACTTATACCAAGTGTTGCAATTGTTGTTTGCGAAACATTTTTTTGTGTTAGAAAAGGACAGACATACAGACAGAAATACCCCAGCCATCTAAATAAGATGCGCTGTCGGCCTATTATGGATTTGAATATTGGGATATACATATACATAAACCCAAGTGCGATTAAATTCCACGACTTTTTACGTATAGGTACGGTGGTTCGTGACTTCTCGTCAATTTAAAAAATATACTAAAATAATTTAAGTAAGAAATTAATTTGTATATGTTTTGACTGTTTATGCGAGTAGTGCCTAAGAGTAAATAAACGCTTTGAACGCGTTAAAATGCGAAATATATTCTTTAACTTATTTTTAATTTATTTTAACTACGATGTTTCGAATGCTTTTATAGCAACCGCGGTCACGGGGGGACAAAAATAATAAAATATGTTAATGAACAGACTTATTTAAATGTCTAATACTCGCAAATTACAGACATTATTTAAATCATCATTATTATTGTAAATGTTATAATTATGGTTAATATTATAAAGCCAACGTTCGACGATCTCTCGAATGGCCCATCTCAGTCACACACTTTTTGTCCCATATTTGGGGGAAAAAATCTACCGTTATGGTCGCTATGCATAAATCATCTCAAGTGGAAACCTGTGGTGTAGAATCATAATATAGGACGAATAAAATGTTTCAATTATGTGTTACACCCTTTTTGATCTGCTTGTAAATGATATATTGTATAGCCAAAGGAAATAATTAAAAACGAACTTTAATATTTTTTCAGTTAATACCTTTTTCATTCACAATAAGTAAGTATCCTATTTTACATTACTTATTCTTGTTTTCGAACTCAATATATATCGCGTTTTAAACCGTTTTATATGTTGTTATGTTTCTTTCTTAAATAAATAAATAGATGTTTAATTTAGCCTTACTTTTGTTTATTAATTCATATACAAAATAGGCAACTTACTGTTTGTGATAGAGGAGGGCAGGTAAGCATGGCCTAGCCCTCAGGCAAATGCGTTGTCGACTTATTTTGACTTTGGATAGCTGCGCTAGGTGGATGGAAGCAGACAATTTTGCTCCAAAAAAAAAACCATTTCTTTTTCTATAATGTTCATGTTTCGAAGTGAGTTTTCGAGAGAAAATAATACAAGAACCGTTTCTCGCATTCTAAAATCAAGACCGCGTTTGAAATACTTTCCTAAGAATTAAATTAATGATTTGAGACGCACACATGGTCGCCAGAAGCCATGTGTCCAAGATGGACCACATGCGACGTGGACATTCACATACGTAAACATCGGACGCTTTTTGTAGACGGACGTTTGTATCTATAATAATATTATAAAGTTAAAGAGTTTTGTTTGTTTGAACGCGTTAAAGTCAGGAACTACTGGTTCGAATTGAAATTTTTTGTGTTGGTAAGAGAATTTATTGAAGAAGGCTTTAGGCTTTATAAGACGCTGCGATCAAAAACATAGTAGAAATAGTGGGAAATGAGGAAAATACAGGAAAACACATTTGCGAGCTTCCGTTGCGTATGCTGCGAAAACGGTTCAAGATATTTAAAAAAACATGTAAAAAAGAATGATTTTTTCTCAAATGATGTAAAAAAATGTTCGCGACAATATATGTCTATCTTTTAATTATAACTTGCAGGAATGACAGGACGGGGACAACGTCGTGTTTAAAAAACAAATTCAACTGTTTTATACACGAACTATTGAAATAAAATAAACTAATGGTAATATTAATAACTAATGTAATAGTTAACTTATTTACAATTTAGCTTGACTGCCGTCCGCCGTTGCGGATGCTTTGTTTTAAATCGTCAAAAATGTTTTATAATGAATGACAAATTAATTAATGTGTTACATAAATACCCAGTTGGACCCAGTGGGGATCGAATTAACGACCCATTGATTATTAGCCGTTTGCTACCATTAGACATACCGAGCCCGTCTTATGTAGAGTACGGCTCGCGTAAAGCCAAAGTAACACAGATCTCAATATAAGTATATTCGTTTTCGTTGTCTCGGGGGTGCGTCTGTCACGAGACTCACAAAAAATACGATGAAATACCGCTATCCACATCTGGAAGTTGTTGCGTTACCGTTACCGCGTTACCATCGTCTGACCCGGCGCAAAAAACGTGTGTAGGTGCGCGCGCGCGTCTTCGTGAAATTACTGCGCAATTATAGTTGAGTGCAGGAAACATAGACAATGGCTGTCTATTTAGTTTGCTAATGTGAGATTTTTAGGTTCATTGGATGATCGGTGCCGCTAACGCTCTTCTTTTAGCTCTAAATAAATAAGCCACAAAGCTCGTGCGCGCTGAGCGTTTAACAGGAACAAATTAAAAAAGTAATAATTACTAAATCATTACACAATACAGAAAAAAGATATAACAATGTGGAGAAGGCTTACGCATTTACAGACATATTTTAATCTATTACTATTAAATTCTTCTCATGTGAATATTGCGTTTTGACATACTATCTATGTTATGAAGTTAAAAATTAATATTTACTTACATAAAGAAACAACTGTATTTAAGATTAATATAATTTTTATTATATTTATATTTTCAAAAACATAGTCACCTTGAAGGGTATGTTAATAAAAATAGCCGTCGTCTGCTCTTTTAAATTGCTGTTTAAAACGCGAAATATATTATTTAATTTTACTTCGTTTCACTAAAGCAACCGAAACGTAGGGCCGTAGTGAAAATAAATGAAAGTTAA